TTGCTTTATTTTTAAATTTTAATCAATAAGGTGGTAAGTTTTTACTAATTAAAATCTTTAAATACTATCGATAAAAATTTGGTTAAATTGGTACTAATTACTTTAAATTTTTTAATTTGGAGTCAAAATTAAAAATTTAAACTTTTATATTATCAAACAATTAACCCTTCAATGCAAAAATCAAAAAAAAAAAAAAAACCAACTCATTCAATACTAGAGATGCTTTTTTTAAAGTAGTGATAATATCACCTAATTTTCCTTTTTATTTTACTTTTTGATTGCCAAACCTAGTCTCAGTGACTAAAAGAAATTTAGGAAAATAAAAAAAATTAGGCGTTTTTAAATATTTTTATATCTTAAAATTATAATAAAGAAGTGACCATTTGAGTTTATTATTTTTTATTTTTTACACAATTTGCAATAACTAATATTTTCTTTACCCATTTTTTAGGGAATGATTTTCTCTAATTTTTTTCTTTGATCAAGAATTTTAAAAATGCGATAACCTTAACTAGTTAAAAAAATATCATATCCATAATTAAAATATTTTTAAAAAAAATTTTATTTTTGTTTGTACTAAATCTCTTTTATCATCAGTTAATCTCAATTATTGGAATGATGTTAGTGAGGAGACTAGATGGATAAGAGTTAGAAGAAAACCCAATGTATATCAAATATACGACATTCATGAATCTTTTTGAGATAATAAATAGCAAAAAACTGCACCTTGTGAATGCACCCAACCCAACAGTTACTCTCATTCATTTATGAGTTGTTATCGACTCTTTGTGAGAGTAACATGATACCATATTCTAACTGCCGAGCACAATTTTTTTTTTCTTTGAACATAGTTACATGGTTTGGGGAAAGGGAAATGGATTGATTCCGATCTCAAAACCTATGAGAAGTCCTATGCAAGAAGCTACTTTTTACTCTACCCAGCAATCCTCGCCGAGCACAATTTTTTATAAGGTTTTTTAAGTTAGAGTATGATATATTACAAACTCAATCTTTTACCTAAAAAGGTGCTGACACAAGTTGAAAAACCCGAAAATAATTATCAGAAAAATCGAAATGTCGATAGCATGGCTAAGGTCCAGAAAAAATTAATAAAAAATGAAGTGAAGAAAACACTTAGCATTGAGT